TGCAACATTTTTACTTCTGTACAGGACAAATACTTTGAGATCTCAGACACTTTTGACACCAGACCAGTATTCCTCCTGTACATCAGTTCTGGGGCTGCAAAACACATTCCCTGCCTTCTACTACTACAGCTGGACAAAACTGTAACATAGACAAGGTCTTAGCTGGGATTTCAGGTTAGATGGATGGACGAAGCGATCACACACAAACCTGGGAGTTCTGTGAAAATATGAACACTTCCCAGAAAATTAAAGCTGCACTAGTATATTTTTCTTCCTTATTCTAAAAGTGCATTAGGTAATCACTTCAGTGATTATGATACAAGTCTTCACTATACCTTGGATTTCTCCTCATCATCAAACACAGGGTTTTTGGGACGAGGTGGTGGAGAAGGAATCAGGGTTCTGTCTGCAGGAATCACAGGATCAAACATAACGATCCCTGAAAGCAGAGAGGGAACCCACATGGGTTTGCACATGCAGTCACATCAGGCAGTGCACCCCGCTATTCACATGCTGATAGCAAAGTGAACAAGGAGCCAATCTGTCCACTGATCCTAGCACGTCATTCCAATGAACAAAACAGCATCAAAATCACTGAACATGCTAGCTGGAAAAACAAATAAAATTTTCTTTAGAAAAAGGCTAAAACCCCAGCAACTTTATTGCCATGTCCATACTGCTCCTCTAACAGCTCAGTATATTCAATAGCTCTGTTATTTGTCTTTTCCCCTTTCACACAGGCTGCTGAGCTGCCCTGTGAAGCCCCAGACAATCCAGCTTTGTGCAAACTCAAGGGCAGGAGATTTGTTTGTACAGAAGAGCTGAGCAGGAAAGCAGACACTCATGCAAGATGGGGTGATGTGAAGACTCCTAACCACCAAGTGGGGAGAGAGCCAAGTTTCATGCTCAAGTTCCATTGGCAAACCCTTAAATTTGTGCCCTACCCTAAAAAATTGTGCTGTCCTAAAAGAGATCTGTGTGTGTGTTGAAGCTACAAGCTTCTCTCCAGAGCTGTTTGTTTTTTGCCTTGCCTGCACAAGAAATTCATATTCGTTTAACTGAAGGCACAACTGTAAAATGATTTGGTTAAAAGAATACAAAAAGCTCTGTGGAGGCTTTTATTTGGCTTTCAATTACTTTTGAATAGATAATTTACTATCTAGCTTCAGACAAACTTAAAAAGGCCATGCAAAAAAGGCCAAATCAAATGCATTTATAAAGTGTTTAACTAATAATAATAATAATAATAATAATAATAAACAGCCCAGGACATTTAATGTAGCCAGTAGCTTTCCCAAAGTTTCAGGGAGTTTTGGGGCTTGTTCTGTCCTCTCCCAGAGCTTGCCTCGACTCCCCACGGAATTAGAAGTTGCACATTTTGTGACACTCCTACTCACAAGCACGGGCTGGAGGGAAGGTGGCAGGGAGCAGCTTCCTTCCTACCTTGTCGCTTCAGCATGTAGTAGGCATCTTTGATTTTGGATTCTTCTGGCAGAGCCACTGTCCAGCTATACAGCAATTCAATGACTTTGGTTTTCACCTTCTCTGAGACCCGGTCTCCCAGGTACTGGGAGCGGCAAAAGAGACAGAAATCAGTTTTTCACATTATTCACTTCTTTTTAATAACAAAGCCCAAACCCAGAGAAGAGGATTCACCATTATACATTAAAAGCTGTATATTTGCAGGTGATATAAGATGCCTCTTTTTAAGAGGGGGAAAAGAAAGCTCCTCTAATGTATTTGAAGTAACAGTGAGCAGAAGCTTTACAAACATCAGCAAAAAAAAAAAGAAAAAGAAAAAAAAAAGAGCAGGTATATAGTTAGCTTTAGACTTTTTCCTATTTATAAATTATAGCAATACAAATATTCTCCTAACACTGTTTTGGGGGAAAGAATGTTGAAATACTTGATACTATTATTCATGCCATGGGGCACTTCTGTCAGTTTTTCACCAAGTTGGCCTGATCCTGGATATTGAGGAATTTGCCCAGGCACTCTTTACACAGCAAGGCAGCAGCACAGTGAGGATTACAACTCTGCAGTGCATTGCTGAATGTCTTGAAGCTTTGCACCACACCTCTCCTCTACTGATGCTGCAGGGGGGTGACTTTTCTTAAAAAACGCCCTGAGGTTTAAAAGTCCTGAAGTTAAATGAGGCATTAGAATAATACAAAGACTGTACACAGTAAACAAGGATAGCTTACAGAGAAAAGTAATGATCAGAGCACAGAAATATTAACTATCAAATGCTTTTGAGTATAGGTTAATGTATGCAATGAACTAGACAGAGCACTGAAAAATTTTGGATGCTGCTTGTAGCTTTGGAGAGGCCAGAAAGTAAATATTGTAGCAAGGCAACAAGTCAGGGACTAACCTTTGGAGACACAACTTTTATTAACTCGTTTAAAAAGCGAAATTTCCCAACTTCATTATGAAATCTTCTCCCGCAGTTCTTCATACAAGCTTCCAGCACCTGCATTCAAGTAAAAGAAATAGGTGGTGAAAAAATGGCCCAAACCTACCATAACAGCAGAGTTGTGCTCTGCTCACGTGTTCCTGCTCTGATATGCAAGGTGTGCATCCCTCTACTTTAGGAGTGACACATCAAGACAAGTTGGTCCCTCACTCTCAGCAACAGATATAAGGATCAGAGTTATCTCCGCATTAGGGCTGACAACAGCGAACGTAAATCTTGCCTGAAGATAAGACACGAAAGCAGATGAAATTTAAAACAGTTATTTCTGGCTGCTCTGTTGCTAATGAGCTATCTGGAGACTTCAGTTACATAAACTGCCCTATCTTTCACTGTCCACTCCCTTCCAGGGGAGAAGAACCACAGAGTTTGGACCCAGAACTCCTGCTAACGTCAGTGAGCAAGACACACAGTGTCCAATTTACACAACTGGATTTAAGAGAGGGGCTAAGGACTACCTACTGTCAGGGCTTGGACTGCCTCCCATTCCTGCGGCGACTGGATTTTATGAGCCAGGAGTCTCACAGCTATCTGTGGCCTGAAACAAAGCAGATGACCATTACAGACAAAGCAGGCAAACACACTCCGGGATTTTCAGACGTTTAAAATATCTGCTGTTTAAATGAGACATGTTTCATGAGGTTAAAAGAAAATGCCATTCAGTACTTTTCATCGTTACACTAGTGCACAAAAGCTAACAAGAAATACTCAGGGCATCTCAGGAAGCTGGGGTGTTTCATGTGTAAAAAGCACAGGGTAGGCAGCAAATCCTGATCCCTCCTTGGGAGAGGCCCAGCAGGATGAGAGGCCCAGGGATCACTTCATCTATCTGTGCCTCAGCTTCCTTTTTCCAGAAGACATTCCTTCCTGCCCTCACAACAGAAATGCTAGAACCTCAAAGGCTTCCTTTGTAAACCCTTTCGTAAGGTTTCCCTTACAAAGATGTGAAGTCCCATCCAGCAGTAAGAGTTACAAACCCACTGAAAAGTGAAATCAGCTTGGCCAGAAAAAACAGCTACAGAAGCTGGTGTAACAGGCAGATTCGGAATCCATATTTTCCAGATACTCAATTTGGATTTAAATTATGCTGCCTTTTATCACAGAAAAGAAACCAAACTTTGCAGCATCTTGTTCCTTATATACCACAAATAACTTTGTGATATCAGTATGTAAAAAGAAAATACAAAACTTCAATAACCAAAGGACATATTTTATACTACAAATGTTAATTTATAATATTTCTAAATTTAAGTGCTTGGAACACCCACCCCTCCAGTTCCTTGTTGATCTGGTCACAGAATCCGATGATGTATTCCCAGTCTTCTTGTCTGTTAGATGGGTTAGTGGCTTTATCTTTGGCAAGGAAAAGAGAATATATTACTAATCGAGCAAAAGAAACAAAAGGTTATGCATTTCCTAGAGAAAAGCATTTGGCAACCACTGCCAGCTATAAAATAAAAAGAGAAATAAGGTAACACATGGTATGTCTGTGTACCCGGGGCATCCAGGGAGAGGGGTGTGCTCAAGTCAAGCCATCCAAATATCTAGGAAGACCCACTGCTTTCCAAAAAGCAGGTACCAAATCTCGAGCACTCAAAAACACACTACTTTCATGTTCTAAATAAGAATATAAAAAGAAATACTGGAATTCACACAGCCTTCCTCTGCGTGAAACGCTCTTTTTGTCTCCAACATTAAACTACTTAAAGGTTAAACCCTCATGTTTTCTACATAGGAAATGCTTTTTGCATTCCCTGAGAGTTTTGTTGAAGTCAGAGCTGGAATATCTGGTGCCTAATAAGTCACTTGGCACTGACACTTGCTTTCAAAGTGCCAGCTGATTTGTAAGACGCATTAGCATTTCTCCTTGGAAATAAGGACCAAAATTTATTACTATGCATTCTGTTGTTCTTGCAAATAATAAACACCACAGCCTGCACCTGATGAGGAAGTCAAACGCTGGATGCTCAAACTGAGAGCCTGATGTTTTACTGACGGGGCTATTTCAGGCTCTTGAAGGATCCTCCCTGAGGCATTTGCTTATTGTACTGACTACAGAATACTAAAACTATCAAAATCTATTTTTATTACAAGTCTATCTTCTCCACATACCTAATGCTGATGGAGTACTGAGTTTACAGTAGACAAGATTCATGCTTTAACCTAATTTTCCAGCTGAGATGATGTCTTTTTTTTTCTTCTTTTTTTTTTTTTTTACTGTAAGGAAAGCAACAACACACTGCAGCTATATCATATAGCATATGTATCTATGGGATGGGGTTTAAGAAGTGTTTCCCAAAATTTAAATACAACAGAGATCAATACAGAAAAGATTATTTAGACAGAGAGTACAGAGCAGGGGGTGAAGGATAAGAAGGAAACAGCAAACACGCCTGCACTTCAATCATACAGGAAAGCAAAATAAAATCAATGCATGCTATAATACAAACTAGATTTTTTATCATTAGAACATATCTTTTTCCTTTTCATGGGCAGATAAAAACAACAGCTGCCAAATGACTACTCTGAAACGTCCCTTTGAAGGTGCATCTTAGTCCTCCTACTGCAGCAGCCCTACAAGGTTTGCTCAGCTTCTCTCCCTCAGAGGGTAATAGCTGAAAAACAATTTTGCGATTTGTTCCACGCACTGCATCTGCAAAACACTCCCCACAGGTAGATCTCTGCACCACGCTGCTTATTTTCATGGGACCCTGGGTAAGCAAAAAAGAGCATCCAAGGAGGACTAACCACAGGATCACATCTTGCTGCACTTGCTAAGCTACCAAGCCACTTCCTGAACTCAAGATTTAAAGGAGGGTGAGTTTAAAATGCAGCTGCTGCAGAGCCAAGCATCTCCCAAAGCATATGTGGCACTCACTCCCTACGAGCACATTTGCAACTGCTACATCCCCTGGAAGCATCATGAAAAAATGGACTTGCTGCAAGGTCCAGTCTTGTCACGCAGGCCAAACGGCACCGTGTGCGGCTCGGCGCCCCCAAGCACCTCCGTGGCTTCGCGCGCCCAGAGACAAGAGGCAGTCGCTTGGCTGGATTAATGGGATGTATTTAATAAACACAGAAGAGCACAAGTAGCTAAGGGTACTCATCTAAATGGACTGTCTGGTGGTGGCACACCCTGATATTAGGAAGGAGAGCTGGTACAAATAGGAAAATGCGACATTCCATGTCAAACGTTAATCTTCGGGCTGCTCAGAACATCTCTGAATGACATTAGGTTATTAAACTGTCTCAGTTTGGGCTCAGAATCATAAGCCTAACATTCTGCACCAAAAGCTCTCCTATAAAGACAGTAAAGTTTCAAAAGGAGAGAGATTACTGAAGAGAGATGGTGTTCCACATAAAGCAACTCCCTGTTTCTACCATTCACAAAATCTCCATTTGAAAGCCTAGTTCATGCAAGCTGAAATGCTTTATCAGAAGCCCTGCACTGGGTCTGAGGATTGATGTGTTTACACAGCACAACCACGGGGTGAGTCCAGGCACCTAAACTGATTGGGGCACCCATCTCAGCACAGCCACATTAGCCCAGCAGCCCAGACGGGCTGGTTCACCCTGCTTAACGTTTGCAGGATGACCCTACACGTAGAAGAGACAACCCAAAAGCCTCTATTTTTATACACAACACAAAATGCAGGCAGTAAGCTCCACCACGTTGCCTTATAAATATGCTTCAACCCTTATATGAAAGCATCATTGCAGGAAGATCTCCATGCTCTGAAATATTAAATCTTTGGCTTCTCCACTGAAACCACCAACAAAGGACTGTTTGGTGCCAGCTATAAAATCTGCTTTCATGGGGACACTTTTCCACCAGCCTCAAAACCCGATTTCAGAGGGGCACTCGAGTAGCACTTGAGTAAATCTGAATGAGCAACCTGGAAACCAAAGGCTCTGCGTTCCCCCAGCCCTGCCACCATCTGTGCCCCAGCATTTAGACACGGCTCCTCTCAAACACAAACCAGGGCTTCCTACTGACCTCAGCATCCGCCATCCAGCACTCACTGCTAATGAGCCAACAACATTCAGATGCATCATTAGATGTGGAACAAAGGTGCTTATTTGCTTTATAGAGCAAAGACTCTGGAATGCAGAGAGCCACAAAACACTCATTGAGCGGTAATGAAGGCTTGCATTTCCCCTGGTTTTACTTCTCTGTTGAAAGGAGACAAAAGCTGACTCAGCAATGGGTTTTCCCACATCAGGCCTGGCACAGGGATTGGGCATCTCCGACCATCTGCATTCCAGGGAGGAGAGGCAGGATGCTGATGCCTGACAAAAGATGGAAGAAACAAACAATCGGAATAAGTTTTATTCCTCTGCATCTATTATACAGTTGGACAAAGCCTAAGCCTGCCATGAATGAGATATGCTGTCAACAAGCCTCTCCTGGTGCAGCACAACAGGCAGCACTAAAAGGATCCAGTTGTGTTTGCATAACTGACAATATTTTCTAACCTTGTCTTTTATTTCGAACTAGTGTGGGAGAAGAGCTTGCAGGCAGGGAGAGAAGCACAAAAGATCCCCATTCTCCTCCCGGCTGCCTGCAAGGAGATGGGAGATGAAGAAGATGCTGGATCATCACAGGCTGAAAATGTAGATCTTGTTGCAATATTAGGACAGGAGAATCATGTTACTTCACAGCTCTAAGCCTCTGCTTAATGACATGAGACAAGGCAGCAAGGAAAGCCGCACGCCACCAATACAGAAGAACCACTGATACAAAGAAATTTTCTGTCTTTCTGTGACTGGAAAGTTGGTCTTGGCTTCTGTGCAATTCCAGCCCTTCCCTTTAGTAAGGGCACAGCAGGCACGGGCTCACAAGGTTAGCATTAGACACAGCACATCTATTTGACAGGTACAAGCAAAAGCCCTCAGGAGGCCTGCGGAAAGCACTCACATGCAGCAGCCTTTGCGCTTTACCTCCCTGGTACTCACGACTCCTCCAGCATCCCTACATAAACCACCCCGGCCCTGCTCCGAGGGGAGGAGCTATGGAATCACACCAGCCCAAACCACGGGAGCAGTGACCAGGCATAAACGCATCATCTTAAACGGCAGCAGCACTCGAGCCTCACAACCCGTGTTGTCCCCCATCGGACACGGGCTCTCGCGGCGAACAAGGCCCCTGCAACGCTGCTCTTCAGCGGATGCTCCCCGGCGATAGGCCGCGCCACTGCATGGCCAACTCCTAACTTCCACAATTAACAGCAGCAACAAATAAATAAATAATGCACAAAACGGGAAGTTTTCCGTGCTACACAGCCTAAAATATCCTTTCCATCAGCGACATTTTCACGCACGGAGCGAACACGGTGAGTCAGTTCTCCTCGGAGCAGAAGGGGATGTGGGTGTTCCTTCATATGGCTACAATTAAAACACAGGAAGACACTGACAAACCGGGGGAGTTCAGAGGAGGAGCGAACGCAGTCAGGTGATGGAAAGCACTGATCTAAAATGAGAACTAGGAGCTAAAACCACAGCTTAGCCAACAGCTCCAAAAACAGACGATAATATCATGTATGCATGCAAGTTTTATATTAAAATACCAAGAAAGAACAAGAATTACTTCATCACATCCAGGAGGTACAATTCTAAAGGCGTCTCAGGCTTTATATTTGGAAGGATTTAGGCTAATGACAGTCTTTGGCTACTTGTATAGCGCCCAACTAGCTGTGAACTTTACTCACTGACATAATGAAATAGCTTTATATAACAAAAAAGAAAAAAAAAAGGAAAAATCATCTTGGAAACAAGTCAGTGGGGTGCAGGAGAGGCTCCCCTGGGAAAGCAGCAGCAATCCCTGTGCTTGGAATAGTAAGAGCAGCGATTGCCTTGGACACGGGCCTCAGCGCGAGGGCAGGACGGCGCAGCGCTGGGTGCTGCATCACCCACAAAGAAAGCCCGTTAACTTAGGGAAACTACTGACAACCACCCAGAAAATCCTCAGCAGCGCCTTTGAGAGGGCCAAGGCAAGGTTTCCCGTTTCTAACGTTTCAGACCCTGCGATGACAAGTTGTTTTTGTGTGTTAATAGGGGCCCGGGGAACGCCGGGGCCCGCAGCTCCCGCCACGCCTGGAAGGAGCCCGTTTGTGTAACCCGGGGGCGCGATTCCCACCGGGAATGTTCCCACGGCTCCCGAGCAGCCAACGGCCCCGCGGCGAGGCCAGAG